TGTGTGTGTGTGTGTGGGCAGGGGGGGGGGGAGATCTCCCGCTAGAGAGAGAGAGGGAGAGAAAGAAGGGTAAGTCTCCAATCTCGCGGAGAGAGAGGGATCAGTGGAGGGAGCCCGGGATCGGGACATGTTTGTGTTATGCCCCTGTCACGTGAGTGTGCAAATTCGCTTGGCCTTTTGCAGTTGCGCCTACAAAAACTTGGCAACTGCCGGGGCAGTTTGCAAAGTTGGGCAGTGTCCGGCACGGGTGCGTTTCAAAGATGGAGTCCAGCTGATGTCTGGCCTGTTTCGCAATATGTTTTTGTCATCGTCCTCCGCCGCAGCGTGGCTGCGGCAGGTCCACTTGTTAGAATAACAGCAAGACAAATGGCGACTGACGAGGGGTCTAGTGAATGATTAAGGTGCGGGGGCGGATGGTGGCTGTACACCTACTGAGGATATGGCTAGGACCTCTAGGTCACACCAACAACACAACTATGATAACCGCTGTGGTAGGTGGGTATACCGGGTTGCTCAAGGGGGTGTCATAGGTTAGACTTCGGCCAGGGGGGGCTATGACACACTGCCTGTGATACCTGGGGTGTGTACAACTAAGATCTATAACTGGGGAACCTGGGTAGGTTTGGGGGACAATTGGGGTCCACCGACGGGACCTGTAGAAAGAACGCCGCCCCTAGCGTCCAAAGCACCCGCACAGCAGGGCTTGTCCGACCATGCTTCAACAAGGGCTGATCGATACTAGCTCAGCCCTGGTGCCTACAACCGCAGTCTGGTCATGTCACTCCACTAAGACGGTACAGGGGTGATGGTACTGAGTGGTAGATGCTGAGGTAGGACTGGAGGAGTGGGGGTGCGCCAGGTCGAACTGACGAGAGGAAGGGTGGGGTGGAGGTCTTGAAAGGGGGTAGGCCCCCAATAAAAGAAGGAAAAAAAAGGAACAGACTGCCTCATACTGAACTGTCTCCTTTCTAGCAGCAAAGCAGCAGCAGCAACAGCTGTGGTTGCTGTTGCAATGAACAGCAGCAGTCGCAGGCAGCTAGAAGTGCAAGGAGAAGCAAGGAAACAAAGGCAACCGTTGTTGCTGTAACTGCAATGATGACGTCAGCCTGTTTTCTGGGGTTGGTGTCCAGCAGCGTCTTTGGAGAGGGTGAGAAGCACGGGTAGTCAGAGGCGAGGGTATCAGCAGGTTGGGAGGAAAGGCAGGGACTTGCAGAGTGGAACAGATTCGTTTGCTGCTCAGTGTGAGAGTGTGTGATGGTTTTTGCCTCGTTAATATACAGAGAATAGCAGTGAGTGATGGACTGGAAGACAAACCCATAAGAACATCTACTACTTGTTTCAGCATACGACCCATAGTCCGAACATACTTGTTATCCAAATCGGAGGAAACACAATCTTCAATCAAACAAAAAGGCAAGGATTTCCAGCCCAGCATGGTTCTGGCTACCGATAATCTGGCCCCTTTCCCCCTTTTTGGAATCCATAACCATTCAAACCCTTGAAACAAAAAGTACGTGGTGAACCATGGGAGGGCATCCCTAAATGATGATGAATGTGGCGGATTAGAGAACATTTCCTTAACATTGAAACTAGCACTGATCAACTGCTCAAGTTTCTTCAAACTCTGATTAAAAAGTTTTTGTGCTGAAAAGATTAAAATGGAGATGATTAGATAGATGCAGAATCAGAACATTGAGGCCCGCACTAACCCTTTTACAAGACAGAAGAGAGGGTCGTCATTTCCGTATATCTTATGCTTAGGGATAGCATATCCTTTATGCACACTCGATTTGTTGTTCCATGGTACTATTTTTTCGAAACCTGCCAGCTGGTACTTGAGCTTACAGTCATCAATAACACCGATCTCAGACCTTTCGGTAAGATTGAATCCTTCAATCCTGGAATCTGAAGAAACAGACGCTGCATTCCAAGCCTATATAGCACTGGACAACAAAAGAGTGTATCCCGTGGGTTATGATCTATCGACAAAAGCATCCCGGTACCAGAAAGCTCCATAAGATCTAAGGTTTCCAGGGGGAAGAAGAAGTAGAAGAATAATGCAATCAGACTCGCTTTCTTTTCCACTCTGCACTCATGCAAACAGATGGTGGGACACACTGGCGCACAGCGCCCACTCAAAGCTCAGAGATATGGGAGTCGAAAACACAGTTCAGATACAAGCTTGCTTCAACAGGCTATGGCGCATCAGCGCCTGTACACCCCAACTCTCGTCTCTCTGTTCAACACCACTGTTCACACTTACTCAACTCCAGATCACCCTGGATATCCCACACACATACACATACCCTCGTACACACTCACTCGCCTATCAGCTATGGCGGCTATGGCCGCTGTCCCTCACTAGCTATGGCTAACTATCTCTTCCAGCCCAGTTCGGGCACTCTGCAGACAACCTCGCACAAGTCGCTCAAGCAGCGCTTCCGCATGGCCTACGCAGGAATGAATGAATGGCTGGGTGCTGCCTCTTGATTTATACTTCTGTAACTCGTTGGTCTGCCCCTTTCCCATGCCCTTGGTGCACACAGTCCCACACGGTACTTGCTTGACTGGACTGTGCCTGACTGGGACCGGTACCGCTGACTGCATGGGTTTGCACTGCCAAATCGATGCAGTCGTACTGCCGATGTAACGCAGTTGGGCTCAGCACTTGCCCACTTGCCTCTGTCCAAATGTGAAACAACTTCAAAAGGCCATTTCCGGACCTTCCAGAAGCTTGTGGGCTTGGCCTTTCGAACACCGTAGCAGCTACGACCTTGACCTTTCAGGACTGTAGCAGCTACGACCTTGACCCTTCAGAAGAGTGACAGCTACGACTTCTAGAACTCACTAAGACCTCTATCCCACAGGTCTACATATCGAACCCCTACAACCTATGGACCTACGACAGCCTACCAACTGTTGCGAATACACAGGTCACGGGTTCAACTCTCGGGGTCGGCACAGATACTGTACACAGGTAAGGTAAGAACTAGGGATCGAGCCCTGGGATCTGCATTCGCTACTGCTAACAGGTGAATACCGTTTCACTCCCGCCGGCCTAAATTCAAGGTCCTCCGAGAATAATTCAGTCCAAGACCGGATTTTTACCTTTCCTTTCTCTCTCGTAGGCTCTAACTACGTCGGGAGCTGTTTCTAGACGTTCAGTTCTAGTAAACCAGCGGTCGTCCGCGGGTTCCTGATAAGCAAATCGGACCTTATACTGTTTCTGTGCATGACCTCTACCTCCTGTTCTGAATGCGTCTTCACCTACAATGCCCTCAATGTCATATCTTCCATCCATGTCCAGAGGGATCATGGATCTTCTTGATGGAAACTGTTGACTTATGACACACGGCAATAACTTTGACGCATGGAACATAGGGCAGGTGTGGAGGTGCGTTGGGATCTCTATCGTATAGGACGGTCCATCCTCTCCGCCCTTAACTTCTAGAACTGGCCACTATCCTCTGTATGTTGGCAGTAACTTCTGCGAAATGTTTTCCTCGGGAGCAAACTCTTTGGACTTGACCCAGACTAAGTCGCCTACTTGAAACTGTGACGGGCAACGGTGCTTGTTAGCTTGCTCTATCATTCGGTGCTGGGCCTTCCTTCTCGAAACAGTAGCTAAGTCTTTCTCGTGCTGTATCGCAAACTCCCTAGTACCAGGCGGTAGCCTATGAATCTGGTCCCGGTTAAGTCCTTCAAACGGTCTGCGCGGTCTAAAGGACTTATGCAGCTCATTGGGAGTACGGCAGGTGGCTAGGTGCACGCTGTTGTTATATGCACTGGCTACCTTGGGCAACATCTCGTCCTAGTTGACTTGATCTGGTCTAATGTACATACGCAAAACTTGTTGCAGGATCTTATTCATCTGCTCTGTCTGACCGTTAGTCTCCGGGTGACGGTCAGACGACATCAACAACTTTGAGCCGTATACTCTCATTAACTTCTGCCAGTTCTGACTTGTAAACCGGGTGTCCCTATCACTAACTATTGACAATGGGATCCCGTGATCACTAACCCAAAAGTAAAAAAAACTCTTAATGACTAACTCTGTACGGGCTTTTGCAGGTAAGGGAACAAAAATAGCATACTTGCTAAATCTTTCCACTATTACCATGACTTGGCTCTTGCCATGCCTACTCTTGACACTAGCATCCATGAAATCAATGGATACTGAATCGCCAGGCGGATCAGGTATGGGCAAGGGTCGAAGAAGACCTAGAGGAGCACGCGTAGTTGTCTTATTCCTCTGACAGACTTTGCAACTGCGAACGTACTCTATGCAATCGACTTTCATTCCTGGCCAAGTATACGCTTGCATCAGATTGGCTAGAGTCTTTTGCCAACCGAAATGTCCCTCTGTGTCGTGGCATTCCCCTACGATCAAACTACGGATCTCCTCGCTATTAGGAACGCACAAACGGTCTACTACGTTGGTCTTCTCAAATAGTAATCCCTCTGTAGTGCGGTAATCTGGTTCAGTCTCTGGGACCTCCTTGACTTTCTTGCGGAGGCCACTATAAATAGGGTCCTATGCATACGCCTGTCTTACTTTCTCTTGCAGGTCTCTCCCTATATCCAGATAGTGAACTATAGTTCCAAAGTAATATGATCTCCTACTTAGAGCATCCGCAACTACGTTATACTTGCCCTTGACTAGTTTGAGCTCAAAGTCATATTGATCTATCTCAGCGGCCCACCTAGTTAGCTTAGGTGTCATCTTGGCCTGCGTTTTCAGCCACCTACGAGTCTCGTGGTCTGAATAAACTTTGAAGTGCCTCCCAAGCAGGTAATGCTTCCAGTGCTCTGAGGTCTGCCTGAGAGGGTAGAGTTCTCTCCCGTAAGTCGAGGTAGCCACTGTCTCTGAAGGCATCCTCGCTGACATGAACTCTACGGGTCTGTAGCCATTGCAGTCATCCTGTTGCAACACGGCGCCTATGCCATATTGACTTGCGTCCATGGTGACGACAAATCGCAAGGACGGATCTGCTACCTTGAGGATAGGATATTCGATCAACGCTCGTTTTAACTTCTCTAGAGCGGATGTACAGTCTTTGTCCCACTTCCAGATCGCTTCTTTCTTCAGCAACCTGCGAAGAGGGGCGGCGATGGAGGAAAAGTTCCTCACGAACTTCTTGTAATAGTTAGCTAGGCCTAGAAACGATCGCACTTCTGTCATCGTGCGAGGCGTCGACCAATCTCTAATCGCCGCTATCTTACTATCCTCAGGTCTGATTCCATCTCCGTCTAAAACGTGGCCCAAGTACAAGACTTGTGTCTTGACCCACTCGCACTTTTTTGCATTGATTTTGAAGTTAGCCTCTCTTAGCTTCTCCAAGACCTGCCTCAAATGACCCTGATGCTCTTGGAGGGTCCTACTGAAAACTAAGATATCGTCTAGGTAAACTACAACAAATTTGTCTAACCACGGCCTAAACACATCATTCATGGAGCGCTGGAATGTGGCTGGCGCATTGGTCAGTCCAAAGGGCATCACGATGAACTCAAAATGCCCATATCTAGTCCGGAAAGCAGCCTTGTACTGGTCATCAGGATGGACTTTTATCTGATGATATCCGGACTTCAAATCTACCTTTGAAAAATACCTACAGCCTTGCACTCGATCTAAGAGATCGTCTATCATGGGCAGTGGCTCAGCATTCTTCACTGTGATAGCGTTCAAACCCCTATAGCCTATACACATACGCAACTCTCCCTCCTTTTTGGGGACAAACAAAACTGGGGCTCCAAAAGGAGACGAACTGGGCCTAATCCAACCCTTTTCGAGGAGATCGTCCAATTGCCGACGCAACTCCTCTAACTCCCTTGGGGACATTCGCTAAATAGCACCATTAGGAGTTCTACTGCCAGGCTCTATCTCTATATGGTGCTGGATCGGCCGCGACACTACTCCTGTTGGCGGCTCTGCCAAATTTTTAAACTCTTCCAGCAGCTTGGCAATAGCTGGGTCTATTGGTTTCTCTTTAGTAGGCTTAGGGACAGACCTTACGTAAGCTACGAAGGCCTGCTCTTCTAACTGCTCCTTCTTTACTAATCGCACGAACGCAGGAGCACTGAGGCAACAATGTGCTAGAGAGTTGTCTACTCCTGACACATGATACAGGCGAGCCGTCTTGACTTCGCATGACGGACTGGGAAGCCTACATTCATGCTCTCTCAAATGGAGTGTGGCCCTGCTGCCTCTCCCCAGTCCACACCTAGGACTATGTGGAAAGGGAGGTTGTCCTTGACGAGGAGAGTCAGGGAGTGGAGTACTTTCTCTACTTTACCATCCTTCTCTAGGCGAAGATACGCCTGAACTCCCTCGACATAATCCTCAACATGCATTGTGCGGTTGTCTGCAAGGATACTAACTATGGGGTCTTCCAACTTCTGGACTTTTAGACCTAGCCTTAGCTTCTTCAATGCTCTGCGGCTAATATAGCTACGGGCAGTCCCTGTGTCTATAAGGGCACCTACTCTACTTCTAAGAACTTCTAAAACTACCAACACAAGCTGTCCTTTATTCTCCTTCTTCATCTTGGCCCAGGCCGGCATCCTCTCTTTCAACTCCTCTGCCAGACATGTGAGGGAAGTGCCTAGAGAGACTCTAACACAGGCAGTCTCTAGACAGCTAACTAGGCATTGGCCTGCAACCTCTGCCATAGGCTCATGTGGTGTGGGAGTTTCCTGGTGATGCGTGCACACTTCCCCGCATGGCCTAATGGTAAGGGCAGTTGCAACCCCTACCGGCAGCTGCCTTTTGACCCCTCGGGAGCGAATTGGGCTTCCCTATATTTTGGATAGTATTTCATAATATGGGTCGCGTCACCGCGGTAGATGCACTGCCCCTACTCCATTTGCTGCTGCCATACTCTTTGATCTAAGCCCATATCTTCCCAAGGTCGGCCCTGTGGCCAACCCGGGTGCCAACCTCCTCGCCGTTGAGGTGATCCTCCATCTCTACGCTGTGCTGATCGACTGGGCCCCGGACGATTCGGTGGGGGACTTTGCCCCCTACCTCCCTCTTGGCGGTTCCTTTGGTCGCCAACCCCCTGTGCGCCCGGACCTCGACCACCCATGGCCCGACCCCCTTGGCCTGGCCTCCTCCTCTAGCCTGCGACCTCCCTCCAACCACGACAACAACATAGGTCCTCCCTTGGCCTACACTATTGTCTTCCTCCTCCAGCCCCCACTCGATCTAACTGTAGGGGACTTCGTCCGTACCACCCTCATCTAAAGTAAGGATCAGGTGATCCTTTGCCCTGACCTGACCCGAGATGGTATGACCCTTCCACTTCTTTCCCTTGTCTAAATCCTTATGCCAGAAAGTGGAAACTGGCATGGATTTGGCCTCGAACAGGACCACTTCTCTACTCAACGCGTCATACGTAGTAGTGGCCTGCTGGGTCTTCTCAAAGAAGTGCCCTCGTAAGGGCTCTAGCGTGGAACGATAAAACAAGTTAACTAATTGGGTCTTAGTGACCCCGTGGTTTGGGATGGCTACCAGATCGTCCATAACCCGCTTTGAGTGCTCTCGCACGCTTCCACTGTCGTGAGTGGATTGTCTTCAGTTTGTCAGAGGCCCTGACGCCTCATGAGACGTCAGTGAACCTCTCTCTCAGGAGTTTGAGGAAGGTGTTAAGAAGGGTGAGTTTAGAATACGCAACCATATTGTGTTCACAATCGGTGCACGTGAGGGACCTGGCAAAATTGGTCGCTTCATCCTTTAACGCATGGAAGGCTACAAGGACTTGCTCCTCTGGCCTATGTGTTGCAAGTACACGTATGTGTTGATACTGGCCTCCCAGTTATCAAAGTTATCGTCTTTTTTCCCGCCATAAGAGTCAGGAAACTTGAGCTTGACAGACTCTTTGTGGGGGCACCCTTCACTTTCTGCAGCGGCCACTACTTTGGCGCCCTCAACGGCACCTGCGCAAAATTTCTCTGCGTTGTCCTTTAACTTCCTAACTTCGGTCCCAACGTGTTTCATTACGTCACGCGCAAAGTCCCTGAAACCAGACCGGGTGGAGTGGAGGGCCATCTCTTGGCCCCTAACGGACTGATGGTGCTCGGTCCAGGCCCTGCCTAGGAGCTTGATGCTCCCAAGGATCTTGTCCAACTTAGCCCAAATGTTAGGTTGGGCCTCTACTTCTTGTCTACACGTCTGTAAGCTTTCCACTTCCCTAACCATCCTGTTGGCTTCCTCCGTCCCCCTCTTCTTCTCCCTTGCTAGGCGCAACTTCCAATCTAACCTCTTCTCATTCTCTATAGCCTGGCGTTCTAGGGGATCACTCGCCGCCTCAATCTCCCTGATTGCGGCTTCCTTCTCCTCCTGAGGTATATAAAGCATCACCTCTTCATCCTCTCCCGATGATAAATTAGCCACCCATTCAGATATCCTCCTTTCCACCCGCGGGTCATCTTCTTTCGTGCCATTGCTTCCTTCTCCTTCCCCCAGTCTTCTCCTTTTGAGGGGCTCTTCTTCCGGCTGTTCTTCTTCCTCTTCAACCTCTTCGTCCTTTGCAGCTCTCATTCTCTCTTCCTCCTCTTGCTGCAATATTTGCATCTCCTCCTCCAGCTTCTTCTTCTTCGCCGCCTGCTCCTCGGCTATCATCTTCATCTTTGCCTGCCTAAGGAGCTCCTTCTTCTCCTTTCTCTCCCTCAGGATGGCGGTGGCCTGCTCCTCTTGAGCCTTACTATACGGCATGGTGCTCTTCCCACTGCGGGTGTCAAACATTGTGATAAGTGTACAACCGGACAACGGTTCCAAACCTCACCACTTAGGCCTCGACACCTGACTGACTAGACCTAGACTCAATCTAAAGGACCACAAAACCCAAGTAGGATCCTGTCAACTAGGGTCTATAGCCTGGACCTAAAATATAGCTGTCACTACAGGGCTTGTTGCTGATCAGGAGGCATTTAAGGAGATTCCCCGCAACTCCTCAGGAATTATTTAGCGTCGCAGACAGGACGACGCGATCAGCAAGTCCTCTCAAGACTTAGACAACCTGTTGTGCAGCCCACAACTCGGATTTTGGGCCAAACGTGCCACACTTAGCAGTCCGCCGGTCAGTACCGGTCCTTGGGAGGGTTCGTGTCCTCCGGGACAGTCGAGTCGTAAGACACAGCCTTTAGCTCTACTTAGCCCGTGTGGGTTTGGTCAACAAGGCTCTATCCTTCATACACGAAGTTCCTATCACCTGGACAGGAGAGACTCGATGCAAAAAGAAGAGACAGACAGACTCAACAAGTACCATAGGGTGAGTGCACATCCATAGGGCGAGGGGATAGGTTAAGGGCTCGGCGAGAATATACCAGCTCCAGCTTGGTCAGAGTTGCAGTCAACAGCCTTGGTAAACAGCCTTGGTCAACGCCTTCGTCAACACTTGGTTAACGCTGGTCAAACCCCCAGTCAACGCTCCAATCAACCTTGGTCAACGCCTTGGTCAACGCCTGGGTCAACGCCCAAATCAACCTCGGTCAACCTCGTGGTCAACACCTTGGTCAACCTCCAACTTGGCTATGGCTGCCGCCTTCTTCTTCCTTACCACCCTCCTTTCTTTCTCCTTCCTCGCCTGGTTCTTCTTTCACCCCGGCTATGTCTTCCCTCTTCTTCTTCGTCCCTCCTTCCTTCTCTCTCGTTCGTCTTCTTGCCTTCTTTCTCTGTGTCCGAGCTCTGCGGCTATGGCCGCCTTCTTCCTTCTTCGACTGCACAACCAATCTTGTATCGCTCCTCTCTCTCTCTCTCTCTCTCTCTCTCTCTCTCTCTCTCTCTCTCTCTCTCTCTCTCTCTCTCTC